CTATTAAGATACCTAGCTGGATCTTTGAAAAGGGGGATTAGTGTCTGAAAGAAGAAGTAACAAATTAGAACTTAAAGGATATGTAGATTCTGACTTTGCGGGGGATAAAGAACAGAGGAAATCTACCACTTCTTACTTCTTCACTTTAAGTGATAATTGTATCACTTGGAAATCACAGTTGCAACATATAGTTACACTCTCCAGCACTGAAGCAGAAATGTTGCATTAAATGAAGCTATAAAGGAATGCATGTGGTTGAAAGGCCTTCTATGTGAATCAAACTTCTTGAATGATAATGCTATGATTTTTACTGATAGTCAAAGTTCATTGATGTTGTGTAAAAATCCTATTTATCATGAACGTACTAAGCATATTGAGGTAAAGTATCACTTCATTAGGGAGAGGTTAGCTTCTGGTGATTTAATTTTGCTTAAAATTGCAACTGATGATAACCCTGCAGATGTTGGAACAAAAGTACTTGTTGTTGGTAAGTTCAACAAATGTTTATCAATACTAAGTATTGATAATGGTTAATTGTTGTGCAGGTACTAAGTTGGAGTGAGCGATGATAAAAATAAGACCACACTAATGGATATCACTTGTAACCGAGGAATTTGGCGATGGATGTTATGTGATCCAAGGTGAAGATTTGTAAGGTGTATCACATCCTATTATTGGTACAAGTTGATTGGTCTAGAGAATGTGACTGGATTGTACTAGTTATGGAGTAATATGGACCATAGATTAAATCCAATGATTGAATTTAATGTTATGGTCAATTACCTATACTAGAATTGTCATTCTCTTGTTGACCATAGTACAATATTTGAATTTTGAATTCAAATAAATTGGCTCTATAATTACAAGACCTCTTCATTCTCTCATTCTTGGATTTGGCATAACATTTGAGAGAGCATAGAGAGGTAACCAAGTGGGAGCTTTCCATAACTCTGGTGAAATTCTTGGTGGCTTCCGACGGATCTTTTCTCGGTATATCCATTGCCATTGCCGTGGACGACGGTGCTGCTGGGAATCTACTTATCATGCGCAGCGAAAAATTAAAACATATTTCAATTCCCACCAGGATTCATCTTTATGTTTAGATAGAAACTATGATAAAGATGTACTTTTTACAAGATCTGCAAACTTATTTACCATATCTCTATTTAAGCAACTTGGATCTGTCTCCCATAGCTGTCCAATTGTCCAACCTCCAACGGTGATCCATATAGAAAATAAGATTGCAGGATTAGGGATTCCTTCTTGTGCTAGTAAGAATAATAAAAAATCTCTACAAATTTGAAAACCCTAATCATATTTATATAAGCCCAAACAGGGTTGGCCTAATTCGGTCCAATATGTAATTAACCTCTTTAATTAAATCCGGTCCGTGAACTAATTAATCAAATTAATTAATTCGGACCTAAAAATATGTAACCCAATTAATTAATTTATTTAACGCTTGTTAAATTAATTAATTGATAAATCACAATCTTCTAATTCTCTTTTTGTGTACGACCCATCAGGTTCTTGATCACGATGTCTAACGACGTGAAATATTATTTTGATCTAATCAAAATTGATAAATTAAAACACCCTTTTAATTTATCACCAATTACACTTGCCGTCCCAAATTGATATCTAGCAATGTGTTAGGGCAATACATGTGACGGGAAATGTCACGTGGTATGACAAAACCAAATCCGTTCATTTACAATGAAACTATAATCCCTTTGTCAATATGATCCGATAAATTACGAGATATGGAAGTGTGTCAATCTCGATTATCGATCATATCTTTCACTCCACTATTAAGTCAATATAAGTCGAAAACTCCTTTTCGACTTATTAGTACACCTTGGCCAAAGATTTCGTTATCGACTTAATTGAATGAAACACAAATCATAATCTCTTACTATCTAAGAGTGACGAATCCTCTACTGGTCAATCACAACCTTCATATGATTCTTGATATACCTTACAAATCTTGAAAAGGACATTTGGGTTGTGGCTAATGAACTCCTTCAAATTGATAGAGTTTTGGTCCAACAAAATCAAGCAAAGTAAGGCAAGTGATTCAACACATTTGATCATGGGAGATTTTTACTTCAAGTAAGTTTCTATAATCTTATATTAGAAACATGCTTAGTAAGTAATTACATTGCTATTAGAGCCATCTTAAGTTGTTTCCTTGCATATTACCTTGTTGTAAATGGAGATAAAGTGGCGAAATACTTGTGTGTATTTTATGATAAAGCTTAAAATATCGTTACTGACATGCAGTGAAATATGCAACATAAACTCACATAATTTTTACTGCATGTTTCCCTATATGATTTAAAATTTTTGGTTTTATATTTTTGGAGAAAAGTGAGATCATAGTTAAAATTGTAGAAATTTTAAATACTTGCTGCTTTTTGTTCATTAATTTTCATGCAGTAATATTAGTATTGTTAGAAATTTCTTCTTATAAGCTTTTCAAACACATAAAGAAACTCAGAATTAAAAATCTGAAAAAATTTTGGACGATTATGTTAGTAACTTTTTCTCTCAGCCTGTGTCCATTATGTTTGTATACCAAACACTAGAATATGTTTAGTACTTTATTTTTTTGTTTTTCTAAATTCTGACTGCAGAGATGAACTTAGAATGTCAAAATAAGTGAAAAATAGAAAAACGATGTTTTCGCTGTCAAATAGATGGTGTTGCAATCACTGCAATCATGTTGTGTATGTGATCCAATTACCTTGATAAAGAATCAACATAAGATTACTATAAGTAATTGAAGTTATTTCCTTTGTCCAAAAGACTTATTTAAGCTGCTAATTGAGTTCTCTATTAAGATTGCGTAGAGAAATAAATAAAAGGAGAACTCAAGTTAAACTTTGAGGAATGCTTGAATTATGATATTTACGATGTATTTAATTTATAGAACAAGACACACATCCTAAGAAAATGGAAAAGAAACCATAACATGTGAATCATACAATGTGTGCTTTGATGACCAATGGAAAATGTGTGTGTGTGTCTATATATATATATATATATGGATTTTTAACTGTTTTTCAAGACTTTATTATAGTTTTTCTACTTTAGCATATTGTCAATGATCATGAATGATTTGGTCTAATGGGACATGTCTAGGAAAGTAGTTATTTTAAGTTTTAGAGATTCGAGTAGAAAAGGAAGGACTATTCTATCTAAAACATTTGTATTCACCGGTCGGATAATTGTGTTAACTAATTGAAGTTTTTGACACAATTATGAATGCAACATATAGTGTAGATTTTATACATGTTCTTGATTTATTGAGGAATCAGAAATAGTACTTGAACTAGATGTTAGAAAATAAGTCTTTGGCATTAGGAGAAATATGATTTCTCTTATAGAACAGTTATATATCCTTAAGGTGTATAACAGTGAATGCTCTAAGTTACTCGCGGGTCGCACAATCCATTTATCAGTATGATCCATGTGAGCTAAATGTTTTGGATAGATCTAATTGGAATATTCCTAAGTAAAAATGGAATATATCACATTTTTGGGGCATTCAATCATCTTGGAAAAGGCATTTAGATTGTGGATAAGGAATTTCAATTTGATAGAGTTTTTTTACCAACGAGATCAAGCAAAGTAAGACAAGTTATTCAACACATTTAATCTTGAGAAATTTTAACTTCAAGTTTCTACAGTATTGACAAGTAGAAGCATGCTTAGTAAAGATTTACAATACTTCAGTGGATAAGTGCTACTAGGTATGGACAATTCAACGAACTGCTGTTTAGTTCTTGTTTCAAGACTTTCTAAGTCATCTAATTTGACAAAATGGAAAATTCAAATTGGAGATAAAATATTGCAGTTTTGAAAATGTACACAGTATGCATCTTCATATATTTTTTCACCATCTGCTTCTCCAAACGTTCATCATATTTGTCACTTTAAACAACTCTTGGTGAAAAGTTTCGAATCTTCCAACTTGTTTAGCCTTCACGATTTAAAAGGGAGCTCCACAGGGCTTATTCTAGTGTTTTTCTCCTCTCTCTTATTCATCTTGTTGACCTAATATTTTCTCTTGTCGTTTGCAGTTCCTTCCTTGTTTAGAATGGTGCCCAAAACCTTACCCCAATTTTTATGTATAATAATATTTTCCTCTTACATAAATAAATATGGTTATGATACAATATTAATATAGAATAATTACAAAATCTTCTTTTTTTGGTTGTTTAGGAATTATTGTTTTCCTTCTTGGATTAAGGATTCCCTCACCACATTCCCACTTAGGGTTAGGATTGGGCACAAGTCGGATTAGGGAACAATCTGACCATCGAACTAACTTTTCGAGTTCGATTTTGACACAAATTGGACCACAATTGCCCACATCATAAAATAGAGTATCAAACTCGCCATCATGACCTTTGTAACCACCACCACCACCACCATGATTCGATTCACCATAAATTATTACCATCTGTAGCACCGATTATGGGAAAATAAAAATTAAGAAAAATATAAAAGTAGTAATGACATTAAAATATTCAATAGTTAAATAACACGGAATAATTAAATACAAAGAGCAAATCCCAAAAGGGTCCGGCCCAACCTGCGGACTTCACTCCAGTGTAGATTAGTCCCTTGTTTGATTTACCTCTCCCAGTGGCCATGTAAATTAGAGGCGAACTGATGTACTTCATCAATTAGCATTCCATCTTTCTTAGTAATATTAAGTAATGACCAATACTTGTCTAGATAATTTTAGTGATACATAGCAATATTATTTTTAATGTAGTGAGAAGTGAAAAATAATTGAAAAAATCCATAGTAGACAATCAAAACTTATTGATTTTTAAGAATGTTAGAAAGACTGTTATTAATTGTAAACTTGCAATCAGATTTTGAATAATTGATTTTGTTCCACAGATCATTGATTCTATAAAATATTAGTTTCGAATTAAGAAATATTCATCTTTGATCCTAGTTAAATTAACATGGCATAAATTAAAATGACAGGTTGTAGATTGGTCAAAACTAATATTCGATACAAAATTCCAGTAGAAGATTCATCTTTCGAGTTGTGTGTTGTATCTTTAATCGATGTCTAATAATGCAGGAAATTCTTGCACTAAGCAGCTGGCCAGATTGGAGATCTCAGATTGGGAAGGCGAAGGACCTTTCTCCCTATTCCCTACTTTCGGTTATCTTGATTATGTTTATATTTTAGCGGACAAGAATTAATCTTAACTGGGAAGTAATTATTGACCACTAAACCCGCAGCTGTTTCCAGTTTATGTCCGTTGCAAGATTTTCAAAGTCTACTAAAGTGAAAAAGAATTAAATGATCAAAATCAATTATTAAACAGTGAAAAATTTAAAACAAATATCCATATAATAAATCATTCAAAAAAAAGAAAATTTCATGGAAAAAGTTTCGTGGAAAAAGTACGGGTTGTCAAATCTGATAATGCAACATAGTATAAAACTGGATTGAGGGCATGGTTTTTTGAGGAAGGTCTACATGTCTACTGCTAGTTTTCTCGTTCTTTTCTCTATTTTTCATCTAATTATCCTTAACTTTGTTAATTCGAAATGCCAAGAGAGTTTCCAGTGTGGAAATTTTGGGGTTTTGGAGTTTCCTATATCTAATTATTCGCAACCGGATTGTGGGTTCTTAGGGGTTGATTGTAATGCTAGTAGTCCAAAACTTTACCTGGCAAATGAAGGATTATCACAATCATATATCATTCTGTCCAAGATCTCTACCAATGCGTTCTTTATTCGAAACCCTACTCTTTTAGGCTATTTAAGACATAAATCCTGTGATTTTCCCTACATCAACTTCTCTCTTCCAAACTCTCCTTGTATTTCTTATACTATCTCCCGAAATATTACTTTGTTCAGATGTAACAAAAGTAACGGTGAAACACTGAAGCGTTATTTCCAGGGTTTTAAAAACTACTCAGGTTGCGAATCCTTTGATGTATATTTTACTGATAGAAATCTTCTTTCAACCCCAGAAGGCTGTTCAGCTGTCCCAGTGCCAATGCATTCGCAATATGATGTCAATTCGATGGATTTCTGGGATCTGTTTAGCGATGAATATGAACTCGAATGGCATCTGTCTGACGATTGTAATGGGGGTCACAATACAGGAGGCCACTGTACAACTAACAGCACGAATCAATTTAAATGTGAAAGAGGTATATCCAGTACATACTACTTTGAGGGTAAAATATTTTCAGCTTAAATATATATTAAGGCTAAGCTTTTAAGATAGAAATTATGGTTATCTATTTTTTCACATATTTGTCTTTTAGCATCATAGTCTATAGTTGGTCATGTGATGTTAATTTAAATCAGAATCCAAATCATATACAGAGTTCAACGTCAATCAGTTACATGCTAATGGTCTTTGTAAATATAACAGGAGTTATCACCGAAAATCTCGACTCACGTTCATATGGCTTGTCAAAGAGTTTAGGTGTAGAAGAGAGTATAATGAGAAAAATGATTTCCCTTCCTGTTTAGTATGTTTGCTTGATCTAACATGAGTTTTTACTCCTGCTGCAGAAAAGGATAAAGGAAAAGGAAAAAGAAAAATTAAATTGAAACTGGTTTTTATTGCAGGTATATCTTTAAATTTTGTTTCTATTTCTTATGTATTTCAATTTATTAATATATTGTTTCTCATTACAGGCATTCCAGCTGCTACAGCACTCATCCTCGTAATCTTATTCACTTTTAACAGAAGAAACTATCCACTCATTTGGAAAGGAAAAACACAAAACGACAAGGACATTGAACTATTCTTGAAGAACCATGGGGATCGTGCGCCAAGAAGATACAAATACTCAGATCTCAAGAAGATGACCAATTCATTCCGTGACAAGTTAGGAGAAGGGGGCTTTGCTATTGTCTATAGAGGAAAGCTAACAAATGACCGTCTCGTAGCAGTAAAATTTTTGAAAGAATCAAAAGGTAGTGGAGAAGAGTTCATCAACGAGGTTGCAAGTATTAGTACAACATCCCACGTTAACATTGTCACTCTCCTCGGATTTTGCTTCGAGGGTTCCAAAAGAGCTCTCATTTATGATTTCATGCCAAACGGATCTCTTGACAAGTTCATAGGCAATAACAACTCCTTACCAAAAGATCAATTAGGATGGGAAAAGTTGTTAGATATTGCAGTTGGCATTGCTCGGGGAATAGAATATTTGCATCAAGGTTGTAACACACGAATTTTGCACTTTGACATAAAGCCTCACAATATTCTTCTAGATAAAGACTTCAATCCTAAGATCTCCGATTTTGGCCTGGCTAAAATTTCCCCCAATAGATCCAGTACAGTGTCAATGTTGCACAAAATCCTCAACTTGATCTCAATTGCATTGTGAATGAAGATGAACATTTGATGATAAGGAAAATGATAATAGTTGGTTTATGGTGCATACAAACTAATCCTAGAATGAGGCCATCAATGACAAGAGTGTTAGAAATGTTAGAAGGGAACATCGAATCCTTGCAAATCCCGCCTAACCTGCACATTGCTTCACCACATCTATCAGCAGCAAATCCTTCAACTTCCGAGTTAGCTCTCTGATGTTAATGAATTTTTAAAGCTATGTCGTGATGTGGACCAAGCATATAAACAGTAATTGCAATTTGGAAGTTAATTTCTTTGTTGAATCTCTTGATTCAATGTTAAATATCAGACAGTAGTAGAACTAAACTGGAATCTGCTTTTAAATATGTACATTACCCTTTATTACAATAGAAAGAATATGCTGCTCCGAATTATGGTGTTGCTCCGAATTCTCGAGTTTGATATATTTAGTATTGTCGTCATATTGAGATCAGGCTTCTAACCAACGCATAAGTCAAAGAAAATGGAGTTTCCCCAATCAAGGATCGGGTACTAACTTACCGCATTGATTAGAAATCACATTTCCAGGGTCGAACGCTTATAGATACTTCCATGGAAAAATGCTACTAGCTATTGACAATTAAACGAACTGCTGTTTAATTCTTGGTTAATCTCGTTTCAAGACTTTCTAAACCCTAATTTGACAAACAAATATTCTAAAAAAAATAAAATTGCAGAACTTGAAAAAGTACAATGTATGAATCTTCATATATTTTTTGCCGTCTTTCCGCCTCTCCTATCATTCGTCGTATTTGTCAGTTTCAACAACTCTAGGTGAAATTTTCCGAATCTTCAGGCTTGTTTAGCCTTCATGATTTAAAAGGGAGCTTCATAAGGCTTATTCCAATTGTTGGTTTGAATCATGCTATTTGTACAAACTAAATTGACAAACTTAATTTACAAATTATGTGTTAGTAACATCGACACCAATCATTTCAAAAATAATTTTTAAAATCAATGTCCCAGATCTCCCCAACACTTACAAACTAAGGATTGTTTGATTGCAAGAATGGAATTTGAGTGGAAAGAAAACAAATTTTAGAGAATTGAATTGTCTAAAACTTGTTTTACTAGAAATTATCAATTAAATGTGTTTAACTGGTATAATTTTTCACCTGAAAAATGTCGAAATATTGGATTTTTTGGTATTCGTTTAGCTTTGTTTTTCATGAAAATTGCCAATTAAAAGGATATAATTTGTTACAATTGTGAATGCATTTGTTTCCATTTCCTCTAAAAAAAAAAAAAAAAAAAAAAGTCCCTGGAAAAGCTAATTCCCACCAAAACCATGGGAATTGGAATTCCATGGTTTCAAAGAAAAACAAGTGACATGGGAGGGAAAGGGAAAGGCAATTGCCTAGAAAATATGTTCAATCAAACAAGGAAAAACCTAGAGAATATCCTTTTCCATCTTCCCTTCCATGGAACAAATCAAACAGGCCCTAAGTGTTGAGAAAATCTAAGCCTCTCTCTCTTTCATCTAGTTGTCTCAATCTTTTCCAATTGCAAATGCCAAATATATTTCCAGCGTTGAAATCTTTGCCATTCGTAGTTCCCTCGTTGAAAATGGTGCCCAAAATCTTAAGGTGTGTTTGACTGCAAGTTTGAAATTTGAAAGGAAAGAAAATAAATTTTAGACAACTCAATTGTCTAGCACTTATTTGCATGAAAATTGTTAATTAAATGTTTGGTTGATTTAATTTTCAATCTAGAAAATATTATACTTGAAGAAATTATTATACTTGTCCTTTTTTTATTGTTAGTAGATGAAAGAAAGTGGATAAATGAGAGAGAGCGAGAGAGAGAGAGAGAGAGAGATAATTCCCTACAAAATAAAATCCTAATCCCCTAAAGAAAATATTTTCCTTAAATTTGAAGAGAATATGATCACGTAATCAAAAGTAGGAAAATGTTTTCCATAAAAAAATGTCAATCAAACAATACAAAAGTAAGATTTTGGATGGATAAAACATATTTTTCATAGAAAATATTAGCAATCAAACGCACCCTTAAATCTATTTTTAAGTTTAAAAATATTTTCCTCCTACATAAATAAATATGATTTAAGCTACAATATTAATATAAAAATAATTACTTTCTTCTTGTTTTCAGTTGGTTAGGAGTAGGGGTGGACAAAATGTCCAGACCAAACCAAACCAAAAAGTAAATTAACCGAGTCCAGCAAAAAAATTAATGGTTTTGGTTCTCTTCTTTTTCTTAGAAGAACTGTAACTCCCTGAAATCTATTTCATTTTTTTTTTAATAAAAACAGTCTTCAAGTGTTACCACAAAAAAAAAAAAAAAAAAAAAAAAAATTTTTTCCAATTTAAGCGAAAATTCACTTTTATTCAAATTTTGAGATATAATCAATAAATCGATAATGATAAACCAACAATTTAAAAGAAAATATTCATATTAAATAAAATCCTAAAATCGTACGATTTCAAACGATCAAGTTAAATATAACATAGAATGTCAAATGTTCAAAATACCCAAAAAAAAGGGAAAAAAACTATATAATACGCACAATTTATCATAAAGATGTTCTTTAAATAAAAATTGGGAATTATCATTTTTAGAAATTTTACTTGGCGGTCCCATAAGTATTATCTAAACAATCTTCTACGAGTCCACACGGCCTGTTCTAATATGAAAAGTTATCGTAAGAATAAATATTTTGTAAACACTCAGTAAAAATACATATATATTTTTATATAACATGATATAAATATGAAAGTACATAGCATACCAACATTCTTATATTCAGAGCAACTTGATCGCGATATCCAATTATTCAAGAAATTTCTTAAGAATTATTATAGCCATTAGGATCTATATATTTAACCTAATAGTCTATTCCAAAAGATTTAACATAGAAATCGACCCTAAGGCCTTAAAGTATTTCATGCCAAAATTTATATAATTATCAAAAGAATAAGAATTTACCACTTTTGAACTATGTATTCTTACCTCAATTAATATGAAAATTCTGAAAATATGAATTGAGATGGTAGACAAAAATGAACTAAGTATACGTACGAAAAATGGAAAATGATGTGTGAACTTCTAAAAACAAATCTTACTCCAAATATATATATTCTCACACGTAACTTAATCAAACTTTTCATATTAAATCTTTAAAATCAAACGTGACTACATTAGCCGAACCAGTGGTAATAGATAGTGCAGTAAAGACAGTGATAAATTAATCTAAATTTTGTTGAAATACTATAATCATCAAACCCATAAATACTGTAGAAGCATTTGTTAATCTAAAAGGCATTACACTAATCTGATAATAACCATAATGAGTTCTAAATATTGCATTTGAAATATCGGTTGCCTTCACTTTCAAATGATGATAACCATATCTCAAATCAATCTTGAGAAATATTATTGCACCTTTCAACCAATTAAAGAGATCCTCTATCCAAGGAAAGGGTTGCTTTTTTATAGTTAACCGATTTAGTTCTCTATAATCAATGCACATCCTCATTTTTCTCCACAAACATGATTGGTGCACCCCAAGGAGATATATTTGGTTGGATGTAATATTTATCCAACAATTCTTGCAATTGTATCTTTAATTATTGTAATTCTTTTGGCACCATCCTATATGGAGCTTTAGAAACTAGGGCCACTCCAAGTACGAGGTCAATTGTAACTCCAATTATCTATTAGGTTGTGAGTGAAGTCAATATTAGAGAATACATCAATGAAATCTCTTACAATTGGCACATTTCTAAGTTGTAAAGCCCTGAAATCTATTTCAATTTTTTTAAATAAAAATAGACTTGAAGTGTTACCAAAAAAAAAAAAAAAAGACTTATTTTTTCTAATTTAAGTGAAAATTCACTTTTATTCAAATTTTGAGATTTTATCAATAAATCGATAATTTTAGACCAGCAATTTAAGTAAAAAAAAAATCATATTAAATAAAATCTTAATATATTACAATTTCAACCATCAATTTAAATTTAATATAAAATGTCAAATGCTTGGAAAAAAAAATTACTGAACAACGTGCACAAAATTTAACATAAAGATGTTCAAATAAAAATTGACAAGTACCATCTCTAGAAATTTTACTTGGCGACTCCATAAGTATTACTTGGTCAATTTTTCAAGCATCCATCCAACCTGTTCCAATCTAAAAAGTCATCGTAAGAATGAATATTTTGAAAATACTCAGTAAAAATACGTAAATATTTTTATTTATCATCACACAAATATAAAATGATAGAACACACCAACATTCTTAGATTTAGAGAAAATTAGTCTCAAGGAATTTTTTAAGAATTACTATATCCCGTATGATTTATTTATTTGACCTAACGATCTATTCTGAACGATTTAGCATAGAAATCGACCTTAAGGCCTTAAAATATTTCATGCCAAAATTTATATAAACATCAAGAAAATAAGAATTTACCACTTTTGCACTATGTATACTTAACTCAATTGATATGAAAAATTCTAAAAATATGAGTAGAGAAGGTAGACAAAAATGAACCGGGTATATGTGGGACTGTTAATGGATCGGATATGGAGCGGATCTGTCCAAATCTGATCCGATCCGATAATCCAACGGATATTTGATTGTTAAATCCATATCCGATTTGCTATGTTATCGAATATCCGATCCGAATTTTTTTCCGCCAATTTTTTCCAAAAAATAAAATAAAATATTTTACCTATCTTGATTGGCTTACCTAATATACTAGAAGGCCCAAATTATTTTTTTATCCAAGTGATGCTCCTTTAGTTCCTTTTAAAGAAGATTTCTCTTGGAATGTTTTAATAATCTTCCTATGTGGGATACTACATTTTTAAAGGGCACTTCTCTTCTAATGTTCTAGTGGTCTTTCAATGTGGGATACTATTCAATTGCCAATTCTAAGTGTTTACTAGTTTATTTTATTATTTTCACAAAAAATCATAGCCTTAACAAAATTAAAATAAAAAACAATA